TGTCGATCCAGAAAATTGAGGTCCATATCCAATATGGAAACGTGGGTTAAATATGAATTTAACTGATCAATCAAATGAAACAGATCAATTAGATTTACTTTATGATCGTTATACAAAAAATGTTTTAAATTTTATTTATCATGGTTTAACAGAAACTGGGCAAAGACCAAAAATGAAAATGGTTGTTCCATTGTAAGTAAACAAAAAAAAGAATGTTATTTTTCTTAAAAGTCAAGTGAATATTATTGTACAATTAACAAAATTACTTGGTTCATTATTTTTACCATTAATTAATCATGGGAAAAAAGATCAATTAGAATTAAATTCTGATAAAATTCATGCTGTATTTCTTCAAGCATTTATTTTGTCATTTGGTGTTTGTCTTAAACAAGAAAAATGGAATGATCTTATTCCAAAATATGAACATAATCGATCAAAACGATCTACTGAATTACTTGTTCTAACTATTGATACAATTCGATTAGGTATTATAAATAGAAAAAACGTATGTGTTTATTTAAAATTTACGATTAGTATTTCTTTTTGTCCCAACTAAAGAATATCTTGTCCATTGAAATTTTTGTTCTTTTTTCCAAGAAAGGCACTTCCACATAAAAAAAACTTTGTTCTATCACTGAAATTCTGTTCCCAAAAATCAGAACAAAACTTTTCGGACAGATCAGTTGCTATCAGATGAATGATTTGAATAATAAATGACACAATAATGAACTATCTTGTGTATTTGGCAATTTTGAGATGTTCGATCTCAATGAATTTTTTACCTATCGATACTATAGAGTATTCTAGTGAAAACTCTAAAAGAATTTGAGTTCCTATTGAGACTTGATGGAGCTATTGAATTTTCAATGTCTATTTTTGGAAAGCTCAGGTTTTCGTAAAATTGTATTTTTGAGTATTGTCTTGAAGTTATCTCAAAACGGATGTAGATAATCATATGAAGACTCAGAAGCATCAGAGTAATATGAAATCTTATGACATTAATCAACAATTAATAGCGAGCACAACGAAATTTACCAGAGAGAAAGATGAAATAGCTGTAGCGAAAGGTACTCTAGTTTATCATGGTGTCAAACATGAACATTCATACTTATCTCAACAATGTTTGACTAATGTTTGTAAAAAATATTTATATCTTCTTCAGTTGCAAATAGTTTATCATGTGCAAGAACTAAATCAATATCGATTGTTTTAAATGTTTCATCTCCTTATTTTACTCAACAATTACTTGGTAATTTAAAAAAATCAACGTTTTTTCCTTTATTATATGATGCTAGTAATAAAGGAAATACAAAAGTATTTCCAATTTGTGTTCAATTTTTGTCTAGTACAGGTGTTAAAATAGGTCTGATTCTAAGTTAATTCCACTTATAGTTCATTGACATGTGTTTGTATCGTTTAGGTATTGTCGACTTAATTGATGCTGTTGATGAACCAACAATAGAAATTTTTGCAAATGCACGTCAATTATTTATGGATAATGGATTAGATATTTATGGATTAACAGCATTAGGAGTTGATAATACAAACGTTAATATTGGTAACAATCACTCGGTTTATTCATTATTTAAAGATGAATTACCTAATGTTTTAAAAGGTACAACAAATTTAGTTTGTTAAAAAAGGTATATATCTTTGTAGATCAATAAACTTTGTCATGTTAGTCATCGGAAATTAATTATGTGACAAAGGTCACTTTTTAATTTTTTGAAAGTATCAATCCTGAATAGTAGTTATGTCGTATTGTTTTTCGAAAAGATAGTTGTTTATTTTTTTTAAATGAGAAATCTTTTTCATATTTTTTATTTATAGGCAACTGTTATAGTCATATATTACCAAATTCCGTGAAATATGCTCATAATGAACTACTAATAGACGGTGAAAAAGTATTAATTTCGTTATGTTATCATTATTTACGTTCTGCAAAACGTGTAGATGAATTAAAACAGTATTATGGTTTTTACGAACAAGATTTCAAAGTAAAACGTCTTATCATTTACTCTTGTTCATATAATAATCTAACTTATAATACTTTTAATTTTTTTATTATAGGTAATCTTGAAACATACAAAACTGCGGTGGCTGAGCTTATATCTATCAATTGAACGTTTAGTTGAAGTATTTGCTCTCGTAAAAATATATTTCTTGGAATAACATGAAAATTGTCCAATAGAAATAAAAGAATTTTTTTCAACGTGACGAAGTTCCCTGTAATGTTAAGTTTTTTACATGTATTGTTTGAAATTCATCAAAAGGATCTCGAATTACAGCGCTATTATACAACAGCTGTTGATTTATTTCGAATAATAACTTCATTAAAAACCAAGCTATAAGAAAGTATTGATATGCATGTTTTTGGTACAGCTTGTGGATATAGATTAATACGTTTACCAATTGACACACAAAATTTGTTAAAATCATCATTTATTAAATTTTTAAGTTCGATTATTATGTATATTGATTCTTATTTCGATGAAAATGTTGTATTTTATCGGACAATAAATTATTTTAGATATGAAAATATTGAAGGCTTAACATGGAATCAGATAAACTATCGTTTGATATAAAATTAATTTCTACATATCTTATTATTCAAGACAGTTAAATTTTTATAAAATGGTCCCTACAACAGCTAAGCAGCAAGAAAAGGTTAAAATAAAAAAACAAGATTTTGTGAATTATACTATACAACCAAAACCAAAATCTTTTTTTATCATTTGAATAAAAAAAACAGTCATTGTTGAATAGTTATACAAATTGATACAGTTATTCAATTCTTGCTCTTTATGTTAACCATTTGTTGTATATCTAATTTATTAAACCAATTAATTTTCAAATATATACAATTTCGTAAAAGTGTATAAACACATTTTTTCTTTCATTTTTTAGGCATCGAATGATCTAAAACAAAATACACTGAGTACTGTTCAATGTGTTGAATTTGGAATTCCCAGTTGTCATTATGGTTCCAATGATTCGACTCATATTGGCAAAAATCTTGTACCTTTTCTCAGTATTTATATACCTCACTTATAAATACTACGTCTTTGGAGATCAGATGATTTTCCTTGGACCTCTAGTAAGTTTATTTTAGATAAAAATCTAATTTTAATAAATTTTCATCAATTTTATAATTGATAATTTTCTCTTTTTTTCTATTTCCAAATCTGAATTAAGATTTTACTGATTAAATTCGTATATCTATAACATAAAGCAATCTTGATAATCGAATAAGAAAGTTTTTGCGTTTTTTTTCTAATTTTCTATGAAATATTACCAAATTCTAATAAATTTTTCTTCATTGACTAGATTTATTAATTCAGCAATAGACCTGGTCGGAATGGCTTAAATCTCATTGAGATCACAAGCAAATATTTTTGTAAAACTCCAATACATTTTATCGAAAAACAATCATGCATGTATATTTAAGTCGAAATTTTTCCGCTTCATCCTACTAGCAGCAATTGGGGTCAAAGATTTTTGTGTACATCGAGTACTCAACACTAGCAAGGTGTCAAAATTCTGTACAGCAAGGCTGGAACCGGCCGGGCCGGATCAGTTGAGGAAGATAACCGAGCCGGTAAAGACCGGAATTTCACCGGTTGAAGTTTTGAGAAATCTTCTTTGTTAATTCAATTTTTTGTCATAAAAACTAAGATGTCACGTGTTTTTCTATCAGAATGCATAAAAAAGTGTTCAAAAAATTTTATTTTACTCATTTGTTCTGAGGTTCTCTTTAAAAGGATTCATCATGATGGCTGTCTTTTACATGTGTTCCTAAACTATTACGTATTTGGAGCCATTTTTTCTAAAAATCGTTTTTCCAAAAAATTCGACATTTTTTCGCCGGTTTTTAACTGGTTTTCACCGGTAGAACCCATGATTCCAATCGACCGGTTTAGCATTTCCCAACCGGTTCGAACCCTGCGTGGTATATCTTTTTTATAGGCTTACTGAAACTTTCAATCGTATTCCATCAAGAATTGAAATTCTCCAAAATAAATTTCCAAAATATTTTTTCTTCAAAACATGATGATGAAACTTAGAATCTTCAGCTGCCGTCATTCATGATTGGAATAGCCGGATCATATGGATTGAATAGTTCTATTTAGCAGTTAGCTAACCGATGTCATAGATGGAACTGACTCCGCCGGTTTCCAACATATTTTGGCTAGCTGGAGGGATTTTCAAGCAATCAGCTCTACCGGTTGCTATCCAGTTTGTAGAATTTCACCGGTTCCAGTCCTGCTGTGGAGTTCTTCTATAATTTTTCCAATTCATCAAAAAAAATCAAACAGTAATATTTTGATTTTCTTTTCTTTTATCATAAAAAAGCAAAAATTGTCATTTGTTAGATGATGCATGCTCTTTCTTCTTCCATTTCTTCTCATGTTTTTTCTCTATTCTATGTTGTTATTTCTCTGTATTGTGTTGACTGATCTAAACATATGCGAAATCAAGTTCCTTTTGTTTTTATTCTTGTAACTTCTTTTCTTATAGTCTCATTGCAAATTTGGAAAAGATTATTTTAAGATATGTCTAAACATCTTTTAAATTATCATTGTCTGATTTATTGACTCAACAAATGACGTATGTTAAAGTTTTCTCGTTTTAGTTTTATTTTAATCATTCAAGACTATGAGATAATTCACCTAAAAAATATATCTAACTGTAACTTTTGATTTGATATCAATAAAGCTTTTTTTTAGTCTCACACATCTCTAACCATATAAGACAAAGTTAAAAAACAGTTAAATTTTCATACAATTAAAAAAATGCCATTTTAATGAATTTTTAATTTTTTTTCTTTGCTCGATTTGAAGTTCCATGGGCAATTTTCTCTTATCATTCATGATCACCTTTTGAATATTCTTTTCTATATTTCTTCGCCTTTCCTCGCTGCTTGTGTTTTCCAACTTTAGTTCTTTTACTTTAAATCAGTCGCGGATTTGAGGGAGGAGCGAAGTACACTCGCCTCTCCCTTTGGACTTGAATTCGCGTTTTTTTTTGCTATTGATTGTCCTTGAAAATTTTGCATTTTTGCCTTTTTCGCATCGCTTTTCGTTTACCCGTCCCTGCCTTCAGAAATTTCTGAATCTACACTCTTGTAACTAAATGTTGGAAGCTGTGGTCATGTTTCATGTTGAATTTATTAATACCCCTCCCCCACAGAAGAAAAGGCCATGACCTTCTTTTATGGAAATTCACATCATTTCTGCAAAGGTGACCTTCTATTGTGGGCTATTTTTTGCTAGGATTTACCTAGAAAGTCAATGGTATTTGGAAAAATTTTCTGGCGTTCAAAAGGGTACTTTTAGCAGTCAGGTACCGTAAAACCAGTTTTTTTCCTGGAAAAAAAGTAATTTTAACTAAAAAACCGGGATTTCAGGTACTGAGATCTAAAAATCCACTGGATTTTAAAAAAAGAACTTCTGAAAACCTCATGGTCTTCTATTATGGCTCGTGAACTTTTTTTGCGGATGGCCTTCTATTCTGGGGTGCGGGGGGAGGGGTATGACAATTACTTAGATCTTATATTAATTAGAGAAAGAGGTTAAGTACTCATATTCTATTTAAAATAAAACGAATTCAAAGTAAAGAATGTGATTATCACTTGTTGAATAAAAGTAAAAACATTTACAATCAAGAAGGAGTTGTCCATTATATAAATCAATAGTATTCTTTTATTTTTAGTTCAAACAGATATAACACCAGGGAATATTTCCTCTTCTGAAGTTTCACGTTGGATAGAATTTTTACGAATATCTGAATCGATTGGTATGGAAATTTAAAAAAAGCAAAGATAAACTGAGAAGACAAGATAAGTTCTTTTTGTTTAGTTCAACATGTAAATGTTTTTGAGCAAGATCTTTGTCAATTAATTCAACAATTAAATCAACTTGCTTTTCTTGATATTCGTGGAAAAATTGATCATGAAAAAGTCAAGTCTTATCGATCTACGATTCGAAAATGTTTTCCTCATAGTAAGATTGACATTGAAATGTCCATATTTCGTCTTTGGATATAATTTTCTCCTCAACAATTTTCTTTCCTTTTTTTGTGTCTTTCTTTATTAAATATTTATCAAATAAAATATTGTAATATATTTATTTGTTTTATCATTTAATTTTAATCTGAAATATTAATTAAAACTAGAATTATTTTAGAATTTAATATAATATTTCATTCTTGGAATTAAATTTTATTTTTCTACATCATAGAAAAAAACTTTTTCTATGATGTACAAAAACTGAAAATATTCTTTTTAAATATAAATATTTTGTATTATAAAATAAAGGAATCAGTAGAGCAAATCAAATAATAAGTCTTTCTTCAAAGATACATTTGAACAATTATAGTTGAACTTCGTTTTAATCTTTGTAATTTCAATCAAATTCAACTTGAGGGTGTGGATTTGAGTGTGGGATCTGTGGGATGTGCGTGTGTGGACATTCATACATTCTTCACTCACACGCAGACCCACCCACATCCACACACTCGCACACCCCACACCCACCCCACACCCACACCCTCACGCCCATACCCACACTACCTACTCACACCCCACATCCTATATATATGTATATATCGATGACGAATCCCATAGAAACAGAAAAAGGAAAACAATGTAGAGGCTGCTGGGACGATAGATATCGTACCCCAACAAATATGAACAAGACAACGTAGTTGCATAGTGGCAAATTAAGAATCACAGTTTTATTGGTTCGCGATTTCTATGTGAGGTGAGTCACATTTCTTTCTCTCACGTGTTTTATTCATTTTCAAGAATCGTTTCAACGTAGTCTTTTTCATCAACCAACGAAAATCATTGAATTTTGCTTGAATTATTATTCAAAGTATTTCCTCAATGACAATACCGTCAGATCATGCGTCGTAATCAGGTGGTCCTGCCAAAAAAATATCTGATTCGTTAGATGTTTTCCATCGTCTACCATATTATACTTTGAATTATTTTGTAGTCACCTTTAAATTGCACAATCACGATGACAGACTTCTTGTAAACAGTGCAGAAAGTCAACATCATTTTAAGAGAGGGTCCATGAGGGCATCGAGTATGCAAGGCACTCGATAAAATTTTTTTTTCGATTTTTTTTGCTCATTCGAAACTTCAATGTCTAAAACTACTAACCCTA